TGATGATGAAATCAATCCAGACATTCAAGTATATATTTATTCAAGTATAAGTGTTAAAATGTACTCTTCATGTGAAGTGTTGTTGATAAAAAGTCAAAGAACCCGGAATGATGATGATGATAATCAAGAGAGGTGGTGGAGGTGGAAAGTTTTTTTTTCAATGAAAAGTTTTTCGAACCCGGGAAATCATGTGGTGTATGAACGTGTGTGTGTGTGTATGCGATCCAGAATAAAAGAGATGCACTTGAACTTGAACTAGAACTAGTTATAAATAAAAAGATAAACAGAATTTTTTTTTTACTTACCACAATATGATCAGCTGATATGGTCACAATGTAAACATTGTAAACACATGTTTTTTTTTATTCACAAATATTGATGATGATGGCATTGACACATGAACCGAATTCCCTTGGAAAAAAAAATAATTTGTGATAATTTACTTCCTGGGTCACCAGTACAGAAAAAAAGGTCAGTCGGTTTCTAGGTTGTGGTTGTTGTTGTTGTTGTTGTGGTTGTTGTTGTCTCCCCATCATCAACATCATGATCTTTTAACTTAACCTTTCAATCATCATCATCATCATCACCGTTTTTCCCTCGGCATAAAATAATACCACCCGCAACAAAACAAAAAAAAACCGACAACAATCTGACCTGTGTGTGTTTTTTTCCTGGTTGTTATTCTTAGGGGGGGATTCAATCATTATGAATGAAAAGGAGATTTCTACCCTTAAAACCATCGACCGATAAATTGACACACGTCGGCCGTCATCGTGTTTTTGTTGTTGTTGTTGTTGTTTTTCCCCACACACACACACATTGACCAAACTTTCGGTAGCCGTCAGTCAGTTTGTTGATAAGTCAATCAAGAATGGTGTGGGTGATGATTGTTATGCTTAGGGTGTCAGGAGGGGATCATCATCATCCTTATACATGAGTCGACGAAAAGATGATAGGGAGAACCTACCAACCGAAAAAAAAAATTTTTTTTGAGGAAAGAAGATGAAATCGTCGCGTGTCTTTTTCATTCTATTACCCTCTCACCACCAGACAACCAAATGATTACATCATTAACACTATGTATGATTCAATTGACCTTTATAAATAGCATTGAATGAATATAGTTGTGTTGTTGTTTGGGAGGGGGGCGAAAAAAGGAATTTTCACTTTTCAAAATATTTCCGGGTTTTACTTATTCACTACTGAGTGTATTTTTGTGTGTTTATAAAGAAGGGCTTTACCCTCTATCTCCCATTATCTAAATTGCCACAATCATCACACAATCCCTTATGTTTCGGTTTCATTCATTCAATTTTTTTTTCTGATTGTCAGGTGCCTCATCTTTATGCACACACACACACATGCAAACACAACATGTCGCCGATCAAAATCCTAAATAACCGAAAAGTTTTTTTTGTTTGGGTTTTGTTTCGCTTTCTATTCATCTCATTCATTCAATTCATTTCATTCTTTACAATTCTACAACGTCATTTCTATGTCTGGATTGTATCTTTTTTTTTTTGCTTTGTTTTTTCTTTTGTTGTTGTTGTTCTTTCTTTTATTGAATGAGTGTAGTATCTGTGTAGAAATTAGAATTTAGAATGAAAAATGTGATTGACTGGGAAAAAGCGGAGAGAAAGCGTCAGCCAAAATGATTTGTATTGAAAATAGCTACGAGGTGATATTGTTTGATTGAATCATCATAATCAGCTGATTTACAGAATATTCTTTTCAACAGATTCATTCACAATTATTTGTGGAACAAAGATTTGATAAATTTCATCTGATTGATTTATTCATTTTTTTTAGTTAAAATTTAAAGGTAGCAAAACATTTTTTTTCCCACGGATTTGGAATTAAATTTACCTCAGTTGGTATATTCAATTAGATTGAAAACACAACAAAAGAACCTAACCTAACCAAAAAAAAAAAAACCTAGCCTGACCTTTTGTCCTAGTGACCTGGAAAGAAAAATTGAAATTAAATTGACCTGTGTGTGTATGTCAACCATTCGGCCATTTTTTTCATTATTATTGTTTTCTTTGGTTTCTTAGCATAGCCAAAAAACTAATTCCTAGACATGACGACCTAGTGGGCCTAGATATTACAACAACAATTTTGGTTGATGAATTCACCACCACCACCACCACAACCACCACTACTACTGCAACAACAACAACAACAAAAAAAAATTTTGAAATCATTTATTTTCAACCACACCGAGAAAAACATGCTTAGGTCCTTTTTTTTCATTTGCTATGTGCTGCTTTTTTGCTTCTGCTGCTGCTGCTGCTGCTGCTGTCGTTGTCAATATAATTCATTATAGATCATCGATCATTATTGATCATGATTTGGAAAAATTGTAAAGAGAAAGAAAAAAATGAGAAAAAAAAGAAAAGAAATTGAGAAAAATGCACACAAACAAAATTCATCAAAACAACAAATGCAACCAAACCAACTAACCAACAAATTCAATATTTGTGGATATTGAAAGCAATGAAAAAAAAATATGGAGAACAATAGAGAATCTAAAGCAATATCATCATCATCATTATATCGTTGTGTGATATATATAATATATACGAAACTAATGTAGAAAAAAAAATAACTTCGTCATCATCATCATTAGAATAATGAGAATGAACCAACCACCCACCCACCAGAAAAAAAAATCATTCTCTTTTTTTTTAGATTCGGGACAACAACAACAACAACAACAAAAACAACAAAAAAATACACAAAAATTTTACATATGCCAATGCGCAGCAATTCTTTATAATTTTTTTTTCTATACACAACAAAACAAAAATTCAATTCTTCAACAACAACAACAACAACGAAAAAAAATAGCACATAAAACATAACAAAAACAAACCAAAGATTTTTTTTTCTATTCTATTTAGTGCGCGTACAGTCTCCCCGCCGAAGCCAATCATTTTAAAAGTTGAATGATGATGATGATGATGATGATGATGATGACATTGCCGCGCGGTTCAATATTCTTTTTTTATTGTATACTACTATTATTATTATTATTGTATACCACTACTTCATGCGTGTATAAGTTTGTTGGGCGGAGCTTTCATAAAATGTAAAATTCCATTCAAAATTTTACATTTTGAAATAACAACGACGACGACGAAAAAAAAAAAAAAAGAAGGCTTGGTTTTCTCTCTTTAGTTTTTTTGTTTGTTTGTTTCGTAAGTTGACGTCATTGATAAATATATATATTACCGTCTTCTTTTTCAATACTCCTCCTCTTTTCTAACTCACCCTCTTTGTAATTTCATCATTATCGTCGTAAATTTATTCTTTTTTTCTTTCATACAAACTAACCACTACCATATGAATTAGAATTATATTTTCAACATTGATTAATGCTACTTACATTTTTTTTTTTTTTTTTTGATATTCAACATTAACAACAACAACAACAACAACATGTTCGGCATATACACACACACGAACACATTTCAAAATGAAGAAGAAAAAAAAAATAACAAATCAAACCCCACACACACACACACACACACACACACAGCAGCAGCAGCAGCAGCAGTAGTAGTGTGTTTGAAAAAAAATACCACTACATTTATGAATCATTTTTTTTTTTTTTTTTTTTCTTCTTGTTCTTCTTCTTGTTGTTGTTTTTTCATTCTTCATTCACATTTTGATTGGATTCGATTTGATTCAAATCACCGACATCATCATCATCATCATCAATATCAACATCAACATTATAATAATAATAATAATCAAAATCATCACCCTCATACTCATCAATTTTTTTTTTGTTGTTGCTTTATTCGTTTTTCTTTCATTCGAATATATTAGATTTTTGTTTTTATTCAGTTTTTTTTTCTGGTTCAAATATTATGGCGCTAATGCGTTTTTATATTATATGACAAAAACAAAAACAACAACAACAATCACATAGACCGAAGAATGATGAAGATCATTTAATTTGTTTTTCAAAATTCTAATAATCAATATCCGGTTATTATTGTTATTCGAATGAATTTTGTCGTGTGTTCATTTCATCACATTTTTATTCTGACCGGCCAATGATTCGTTTCTTGAACTTGAATCGAAATAAAGAAGAAGAAGAACAAAAAAAATCTCATTTCATTCTCCTTTTGTGTGTGTGTTTTTATTTGTGAATTTTTTTTGCTTTTGTCCCAATCTTATGAAATATTCTCACTTCCTCTTCAAAAAGCAAATTTGTTTTGGTGTGTTTTGGACGGCCGTTGTTTTTTTTTGTTTTGTTTTTTGTTTTTGCCCGTTTTTCTTTCATATTTTTTTTTTGGAACAACAATTTTCAACATTTACATAACTCAAATATTGGCCCTAAATTTTGGCAATTCTGATAGTTTGTGTCTGATTTTTGTTGTTGCTGTTGTCGTCGTCGTCACGACAATAATTTCATTTTTTCACATTACATACAAACAGCAGCAGCAGCAACAAAATTAATGATTCTCATCATCATCATGAGACATTCATTTTTTTTTTTTTAACAACAACGATAAAAAAAATGAGAAATAGCAATTTTATTTTCGGACAAAATTCATTTTATATTTGAGTTTTGCAATTTTTCAATGTAGAAAAACGCCAATATATATAGAGCAATATAAAGGAGGAGTTGGTCACTTATGAGCTGATTAACTGTGTGTGTATTTTTGAAAGAAAAATTTCCGCTCAAAAAAAAAAAATATATTCTCATTATTGATTGATTATCAATCAAATACGTTATATTTCTCCTCCCACGCCTTTGAATCTTGACGCCTTCATTATCATCATTATAGTGTGTGTGTGTGAATTTGTGTTTATGCATCGTTTTCATTCATAATCATCATCAATTGTCATTGATTTTGATTTGATTTTTATTTATAGTTCTATAATAATTCAATCTAAATGATAATGTTAATGGATGATGATGATAATGATGATGAAAATAATCAATCACCAGATTATCAATAATCAATTATCAATCAATTTTTTTATTTTGTGAAAATTAACATCCAATAACATACACACACACACACACACACACACACACACATAAAAAAACGTGTCGATGGCTGTACCACATCCAATACCACCTCCAAATTTAGAACATTATGATTTACATAGAATTCCACCACCACTTCCATCATCATCATCATCATCATCACAATTACCACCGTCAACAACAATAAATTCATATCCATCACATCATACATTACCACCACATCAATCTGGTGCCATGAATTATCCACCACCTCCAGGAACTAATAATCATTATAGTGGTATGATGAAAATTCCACCAACACATCAATCTTATCCACCGCCGCCACCACCACCACCGCATCCAAATGATTATGGAACAACGGCACATTATTATGCTACTGGTTATGGTCAGCCACCAGTACCACCGATTCAACCATCTCATCATGATCCACAACATCAACAAACACCTCCACCGGGTTTAATGCATGATCAAAGTCGTACATCAAATGCTCAAGATACGAAACCACCACCACCTCCACAAACTAATCAATCGAATGATCGTCGTACACCCGGAATGATGATGATGCAACCACATTATGGTCATGTATATCCGGGTACACCTCCTATGTATCCACCACCATCGCAGATGAATTCAATACCACCACCACCATATATGACCGGACCTCCTGCTCCTCCACCTTCTTCATCGCAACAATTACCGAATCATCATTTTGGCCATCATCAACCATCATCACCATCATATGAAATGGCTAAAAAAATGCGTATGAATGAACCACCACCACCAACAACGACCGTTACCAGTGGTGATCCAACATTAGTTGATGGTAGTGCATTTCATCCTCATCATCCACATTCACATCCACATCATCAACAATTATCACATCAAGTGCCTTCGGGATCTCGACAACCACCACCACCACCACCTTCGGCTCCACAACATTATAATGGCAACCCTCAACAAATTGCTCATAGTCAAATGTCAATTGCTCAACAACAGACTGTTCCAACAGCCAGCGGCATAATGAGATCAATGACAACAACGGATCCACAATCATCATGGGATATTGCAAATGGTTCAGCAACAAATAAAACATCCGGAGGTAGTTGCAGTCCAACTCAACAACAACAACAACAATCAATACAGGATGTGGATAAATCATCTAAGAAAAAACGTAAACGTTGTGGTAGCTGTCCCGGTTGTCTACGTAAAGATAATTGTGGTGAATGTGGTCCATGTAAAAGTGTACGATCGCATCAAATATGTAAGATGCGTAAATGTGATCAATTAAAAACGAAAAAAGAAAAGGTTAGTTAATGATTCGAAAAAAATTCTTTATACAAAACAGAATTTTGAATTTCACCAAAAAAAAAAATCTCGATAATGATAATAATCTGTCTTCTTTTTTTTTTTTTAGTTGAATTTATTTTTTGTCAAATTTCTTTTTTTCTTCTTGAAAAAAAAATTCCATTTTTGTCCTGTGGTAGAAAATTTTCTTTCTTTTTTTATTTGCCACTACATTCATTCATTTTTATTCCATACAGAAAGCACAAATATGTACAACGGTGTTTGGATACAATCCAAATAAAAATGAATGAAAGAAAAAAATAAAGACAAATTCAGTGAATATTTATAAAAATAGAAATGATTACAACTACCATAAACACAAACATTCTATGTCTGCATTTTCAGAAATCCAATGTCTGTGTGTGTGTGTCTATGTAAGAAAAATGGCATAAATATCATCATCATCATTATTATTAAATGAAATGATGAAAAAAAACTGAACACAAATTCATTAAATATTCTTATTATTGAAAAATTGAAATTGAAAAAAAATTCTTTACATGATAATGATGATGATGATGATCATCATCATTCATATTCGGTATATTTGTTTGTTTGTCTGATTTTTTTTTGTTTCTAAATGATTATTATTCGTGAGATCTCATCATTATCATCATCATTTTGTTAACTTATTATTATTATTGATGATGATGATGATCATTATATATTATATATTTGAATGCTCATTAGGATTCTTTCGATAAAACTTTATTGAATGTCAAACTTTTTTTTCCATTAGTTTTTGTGTTTTTGTTTCATTTGGTTTTGAAAAATAGAATTTTTGTTCTGCCAATGAATATTATACATACACAGAATGGAAAAGCGAAACTGAACTAATTTGAAAAATAAACGAGAAAAAAAATATAGAGAATTTTGATGATGAACTTTGTTTGTTTGTTTGTTTGTTTGTCTTATATTTTTTTTCTCTCATTCCGAATTTCGTTTGAGGATTTTTTTTTTAAATATTTGAAATTAATTTCAATTAATTATACTTGCATTATTCTAATGTTGTGTTCGGTTCATTATGTTATATATTAGTTTGAAGATTTCTAAATTGAGTTCAGTTTTTTTGTTGTTGTTGTTGTTGTCATTATTTTGTCATTCAGAATTACATTTCGTAATGGCAGAAAAAAAAATCTAAAAAAATTTTTCACTGTAATAATTTCATTTCATTTTATCTTTTATTTAATTTCCATTTTCTCATAGTTTTTTTTCTCTCTCTTTTTACATGTTTTTTATTTATTTATTTTTTTGTGTGTGTGTAAAAAATAAATATTTCACTCTGTATAATGCCCTAAGGCAAGGTCATATGCACTCAATTGTTTGTTTGTTTGTTTGTATGTAAAATTCATTTGAATTTTACATTTTGGCTTCCATTTATAAAATTGTGATAAATCAGCGGCAAAAAGTGAGCTGTGTGGAAAGTACAGAGATTTTTTTTCTGTTTGTTTATAATCGTCTCAAAATGACGTTGAAAAATTTGGTTTTTTTTTCATTCTCAATTCCGAATCAATATGTGCGCACCTAAATGACTTTTTTTCCCTTCATTCATTTATTTATTCATTCATTCGAAAAAAAAATTTTCCAATGATTAATTTACCGGTATTTATGGATTTTTCAATGTTTGTAGGATATCCGAACATCCATCATGATGATGATGTAAATTATTTCATCTAATAAAATTTACAATGTAAATCTAATCTAATAATCATAATTTACCAGGTTGTCTGGATTTTTTTTGTTTTGTTTTTGTTTTTCTTACAAATAAAAACCGAAATAAAAAGGAGAAGGTAAAGTGTTGTTTGATAGAATATTGTAACATTGTATTTCAAATTATCTAAATTTTTTTTTTAATGGGTTGACTTTATTTATTTATTTTTCGTCTCATCATCATCATCATCATCAATTTTATTAGGATTCGTAATTCAAGTTTAGGTTCATTTCTCTCTCTCTCTCTCTCATTCACTTGTTCGTTCATTCACATACGGCAATGGTGGAGACATTCTCACCTGAAATTCATTGGCCATTGGCATTATGGCCAACGACATTGACAATTTTGTTCATCATCATCATACTACCTGTTTGTGTCTAGTCTATAGTCTGATGATGATGATGATGATGATGATGATAATCAGGTAGAAATTATTTTTAACAAATGTCGATGTCTTACAATCACAATCAAACACACACACATAACACATAGACACACACAGTGAACATTTTAGTAACCGATTGAGTTGAAGATCAAGTTTTTTTTCTACTATTTTTTATTTATTATTTCTACGACAAAAAAAAATTTTTTTTCGTTAAAATTTTGATGGTCCAATACTGAATGTTATGTAATGTTTGTGTTTGTATGTGTTTTTCCAATGGATTTTTGTTCAATTTTTTTTCTTTCTCTCGAAAAAAATACAGGTATATGGCGCTGTTGTTTGGCTGGTTAGTTGTTTAGGTCATTTACCTATAAGAAGTGTGTGTGTGTGTGTGTGTGTGTTTGTCTGTGCGCATATTCATAATAAGAGAAATGATGTAAAGAAAATGATGACCTTGAAAAAAAACCAATGATTATGATGATGATGTAATATTGAAACATAAAACATCACCATATTACCCGAAAAAAATGTTGAAAATAAAAATGAATTCAACCAAACGAAACGAAATGCAAATATGAATACCGAATAATAAATGAACAAAAACATTCTGAATCGATTTTTATTTTCTGGTCATGTTGATGATGATGATGATGATGATGATCAACCAAACTGCAGCCATTCAACCAGAAAAATGAATGAAATAAAGAGAGAAAGAAAATTGAAATCTGGTTCCATATGTGTATGTGTGTGTGTTTAATTTTGAATTTTTTTTTCTGACTTAACAAAATAACAAATGAAAGAAAAAAAACGAAAATTCAGATGACAATTCTAATGATGATCCGAACGAATCATTTATGTTGATGATGATGATTATGATGGTTATATAATATGAATGTAGACATTAATGATGGTGTATATGTTTGTTTGTTGTCTATATTTTTTTCCAATTCTCTGATGATGATGATGATGACAAAATAGTTTTTAATGATTCATTGGAATTTCAGATTTTGTTGTTGTTGTTGTTTGTTTGTTTCATAAACAGTAATCTGATGATGATTGTTTATATTCCAACGTATATATATGGTGTGGGTGTGTTTTTTTTCATGACCATCTTTTTTTTCAATGTGACTAATTAATTTGTTTTTTTTCTTATTTTTTCAATCATCAGGGTGGAAAATCGAAACAAAATCAGAGTCAGAATAATAATAATAATAAAGCTTCAAATAATAATAATAAAGAATCAAGTAATGGATCAACAATATCATCATTATCATCATCATCATCATCATCATCTTCATCGTCGTCATCTTCATCAGTGGCTGCAGCAGCAGCAGCATCCATTGCATCGACAACACCAGCAATTGTATCTAATTTACCAAATTCAAATATAAACAATCATCATCATCATAATCAATCAACGGCGACGACGATAACGAAAAATAATGTATCATTAACATCGAAAAATTCATCACCACAATCTCAATCACAATCATCATCATCATCATCATCAACAACAACAACAACATCAGATTCTGTTTCACCACGATCATCAATGAAAAGGGTAAGTAATCATCTGTTGCTTTTGGCTGTCAATTTTATTATTATTTTTGTTTTCTGTTGGTGATCAGACATATTCTAGACAGATTTTTTTTCGTTTATTCGTTTACCTTTTTAATCCAATTGATGAAATGTGTTTAGAATGGGTGCATCATCAAATTGTCGGCATCTGTGACGATGATAATAATAATAATAATGATGATGATGATGGGCAATGATCCCAGGCAATTTTCCGGAACAAATGCAGGAGAGATACTGAATGAATGACTGGATGACTGACAATGATGAGACTATATTTTTAGTGAATGAAATGAATGAATCTATGTGTGTGTGTATGTAATAGAGAATCCCACATGGTCGCCTTACACACATCAACCGATTTCGTTGTTGGTTGGTTGGTTTATTTGCTTCGTCTGCGGCCGCCCGGCTTAATATCGTACAACAACAACGGGAATCATGACGATGATGATGAGGGAACCATGAATAGAGAAATAAACAAGACAAGCAAAATCAACGGGCATATATGGCCATCAAAATAAAACGTGTGTGTGTGTGTGTGTGTATTTTGAGGGGAGAAAAAAAAGAAAAATGAACACCCATTGCTTGTTGTTGTTTTGTTTGTGATCACTTGGAAAAAAACAAGGATGTGTGAACAACAACAACAACAAAAACAACCACAAATAGTGAGAGTGTGTGTGTGTGTGTGCATGAAAAATAAAACAAGAGCATAAATTGTGAATGATGATGTTATAAAAGAGGGTTGTTGTTGTTGTTATTGATGCTGATGTGGGTGAATGTGAAGAAATAATAATAACAACAACAACAACAAAAATGACTAAAAAAGAAAAGAAAAACAAAATCAAAACATTCAATGTAGATCACTAGATCAGTAGTGAAAGTTGTGTGTGTGTGTGTGTGTGTGTGTGTATAATGTGGAATTGAATGAAAATTGACAAATAAATAAACAAACAAACAAAAATTTGACCTTCAAACAGAATACAGAAACTTATTTGTTTTGTTTTGTTTTTCTTTTGATTAATTTTCGATTCTGTAAATTCAATCAATCAATCAATCAATGATAAAAATGTTCATTTTATGTATTTTTTTTTATTTTCATTCATTTTTTTTTCTTTTTTGTTTTATTCATTTGATAATGGCAGATGGTTTTCTGCAGTTTTTTTTGTCTACTGCTCATCGACATTGTTGTTGTTGTTGTTGTTATTGGAACCAATCGTAATAGTTTCATTCTTTTATTATTATTATGATTACGAAGATATAAAATGCGAGAGAGAGAGAGTTTATGTTTCTATTTTGTGTTTATATATAACGACAGACAGACAGATTGTGTGTGTATATATGATATGGAATGAATGAATAAAAATGTTTGACGGCATGAAAAATTGACGATTGAAAATAAAATAAAAAAAATGTTAACGGTATCTGCTGTTGTTGTTGTTGTTGCTGTTGCTGTTGCTGTGTGTGTGTGTGTGTGTGTGTTCCAAACGAATTTCCTGTGTGAATATAAAATATTTTTTATGTATGCAATTTTGTTGTTGGTGTTGGAACCGTTTGTTTTTTTTTTTTGTTTCGTTGTCATGCCATGTTGTCGTTATTTTTTTTTTTTTTTTTCGTAGAGACCGGATGAAATATTGGAAATTTTTTTTTTTAATTTCATCTCAATTCAAATGTTGTTGTTGAAAGGTAAATTTCATTTTTTTTTGTATTTTGAAATTTTAGAATTATTCACATTCATGATGATGTGATAGAGAATAATAATTCTGTTTCTGGAAATACGATATGAATTTTTTTTTTTGCTTTAATTTATCATCATCGATTCTAGCTATGATGCTGCAATTTTTTTTCGCCATTGTTTTCATTGTCTTTTTTTCAATATTTATTTTCTATTAACTTTATTCATTTGTTGTCGACCATTGTTTGTTTGTCTGTGTGTGTGTGTCGGTTTTTTTTCGGGTATTCGCATTTTTTTTTTTATTATCATCATCGTCATTATTATTATTATTATTGGCCAAAACGACGAATATATTATGATCAGATCAGATCGACAATAATAATGATGATGATGATGATGTTAAGGACGAGTCCATTGAATGATGGGTAAGTTGGTCTGAGCATAATAATAAATGGCCAAACAACAAAAAAAAAACATGGTGCACTTTGCACTTCGTCCTTTCACATTCGTTATATTGTTTGGTTTTTTTTCTTTTGATTATGCTTCTACCCCTCAAAAAAAAGCTTATGAATGTTAAAGAATACTACTATGTTTGATGTACCATCATCATCATCATCATCATCATCGTGATGATCATAAGGACAACAAGGTCATTCTTATTGGTAGTGTTTGGTTTTAGTTTTTTTTTATTTTTATTTTCATTCTTCCAACAGAATGAATTGAATTTTTTTTTTAAATCAAATCTAATTGCATTTCATTGAATAGAATCGGTCCTTGAAAGATTCATGATGATAATGATGATGACGATTTCAATGACAGAAAAAAAAATCTAATCTAATCTCAAATACTAACATTGTGTTCGTGTGTTTACTGGGTGACATTTTTCCATTTTTTTTTTTTTTTTTTTTGATGAATGATAATAATGATCCATAAAAAAAGGAATGGAAAAAACAAATTTTTTTCCAATACTTTGCTCTTCATTGTTGTTGTTGTTGTTGTTGTTCCAGAATGTGGTATTTTTTTTATTATTGAACCTGCTTCTATTGTGTGTGTGTGTGTATCGGTGTGTCGGTATTGGTAATAATAATTCATTCTAAAATTCACTATACCAGAAAAAAAATTTAGTTGTAGTGGTAAAATAATGATGATGATGATGATGATAATAATAATTTTGGTTCATTGGCCAAAGATATATTAGTTGTAGCAGTTGTGGTGGTGTTGGTGTTGGTAATCAATGGTTATAACTAAAAAAAAATTTCTGTAAAAAAAATCATCATCATCATCGTTATTTGTGTCCATTGTTGTTTGATAATAATAATAATGATGATGATGATGATGATGAAAATGGAAATGATGATGATTCTTACCTCATCATACACACACACACAAACAATATCTCTATATCCATTTCACTTGGATATCAATGATGATGATGATGATGATGTATATATATAGTGGACTCGTTCATTCTGGTTTTTTTTTTTTTTGTTTTTGTTGTTGTATTCTGTTTAGCATTTTTTTTTGTTTGGTTCGGTTCAATTTATTTTTTTTATGTTATGATGATGATGAATACTGAATTTTTTATATTGTTCATCGTTATCGTTTTTATTTTTATTTTTTTATATATCCTATAAGCACACACACACACACACCTCCTTTTTTTAGAAAATAGTATAACTTTTGGATTTTCATCATCATCATCATTCTTTTTTTTTGGGTTATTGTTGTTTGGGTAGTATGTGTGTGCATGTGAATGAACCATTATGAGGGGAAAAATTGAAACTGAAACCCAACCATTACAGCTAAAAACATTGCATTGAAAAAAAAAAAATAGAATGTGTTGTGTTGTGTTTTTTTTTTTTTTTTTGATCATAAATCATTTGACTTGTCGCTGCTGTTTTCTCTCTGTGTATGTGTGTGTGTGTGCTACCATTTGCGAATTTTTTTTCCATTTTTATTTTTATTTTTTGCTTTCTCTTGTTTTGTTTTGTGTATTTTCTATTCTAGTTTGAGATTTTTTTTTTTTTGACTCAACTATATATACATTCTATGTGTTCATCATTGTGATGATGATGATTATGGCGAAAGAATAACGAATCAAAATATACAAGACAAATAATAATGAATGAATCCATGATAATGAAACAATTGCCAATATATGTTGTACATCATATAGAGTTATATTATTCCCTATTCAATTTTGTTAAGTTTCATATAAATATATAGAAAACTACTACTATAGCGATATATATTCATTTATATTCTATGCGTATGGTAATTATAAAAGAATTTATTTATATACGAAATGAGAATAAAGAATTTTTTTTTTTTTTTGATTCTCGATTTTTAATTTCATTTTGTTTTTGTTTTTTTTTTTTTTTTTTTCTCATTTTCGTAATCATTATTATCTGTATGTGTATTTTTTCTGTTTCTTCAACTGTGGATATATAAATCGGAAAAAAATATTCCTAATGAGCACCAAAAAAAAAAAAAATCCGGTGATGTTGTAGGTTGTGGAGCAAAAAAAAAAAAACAACAATCTATAATTACAGCTTGAAAATGGAGATTTAAATTTATTAAAAACTTTTTTTTGAAAATTTTTTTTTCGACAAAACCTATTGGTTGTTTTTTTCATTATAGAAATTCCTATAGGAAAAAACTAGAGCTCAAACATCATCATCATCATATTATTTTTCTGGCTTGAAATGAAAGTTTTTTTTCGGGCCATTTTCTATTCATTTGTTTGTTGTTGTTTGTATAACGAATATATAGAGATTATATTTGTTTCGTAAAGACAAATTAACGATAATGATTGAAAGAAATTCAATCTAATATTCACGAATCATTTAACCACGAACAAACAAACAAACCAAAAAAAAAGGAAAAAATTATGTTTGTGGGTGTGTTTCTAATCTAAAACCTAATCTAGATCGGTTTAGTCCATTTTACTAGATTCTTTCCAACACCGGCGTTTGTACACTGGTTTGTTTGTGTTAAAAGTTTTAGATATTTGGATATTTTTTTTATGCAATTCTGTCCTGTCATTGCATTGGTCAGCCATCCATTCATTCATTCATTCATCATGTTCCAGGTACAACATATATAACAGTTGCTAATGTATCGTAGATTCTCATTTGCATATTCCTCATTTGTTTTGGTTTACATATTGCTATGTAGGGGAAAAAAATGAAATTTACATTTTTTTCCATTTTCTCCACCCCTTTTGTTTTTTTCATTTGGCTTCTTTTTTCAAAAAAAAAAATGATAATATCTTGTAACAGATTGTCCATGACATATACACACACGCTGCTGCTGCTGCTAAAGCCAGGAAACATTAAACGAAAAAAAATTTTTTCGACTTGACTTAAATTGAAAATAAGCTTTGGACACATGAACAAAAAAAAAATTCTGAAATTTTTTTCTCTATAAAGCTTCATTTTTAAATCATCATTTGAATCAATTATGAAAATTATCATTACTTTCTTTTTCATCTAATAATTCAATGATTATCATTATGATGATGATGATGATGATATGGCCGTAAAAATAAAATCCTTGTCTTTTTTTTCTAATATTTCATGTTTCAAGTGAACATATGGTTGTCATTTTCTATTGTGTGTGTGTGTGTGTGCGTGTATGTACAACTAAGCTCGTTGCACAGATTGATGATTTTGTTTCGTTAGACCTAGTTTGTTTTTCTTTTTTTTCTGGGTGTTATGTTCCTCCTATAAATGTTCAATATTTGTTTGTTTGCTTCACTTGTTTCCGAATGTTTTTTTTTTTTTTGGATGACATAATAATATTTCATACATTGATGATGATTATGGCGCTGACCATCATCTTTGTTCCCTATGGGCCGCAGTGCTTGTAATTATTGTTTTCAAGTGGATTTGTTTGACAAGTTTGGTAATTTTTTATTGAATGAATCATTCACCAGGAGAAAGAGAAAAAATCAAGACAAGTGATACTTGACCGATGTAAAACGAAAAACAAGATAAAGAGGTATCAACAATTTTATTCAATGAATATTTTTTATTTTTAGTTTTCCTGTAAAATTTATCAACCATCAAACATCCATTGAAAATTGCAAAGAAATGGGGAATTTTTTTTTCTTTGTTTCGGAAACATAAATGGTTACCATCATGATGATGATGATGATGATCATGATCATGATCCAAAATGAAACTGAAAAATGACAACAAGTTTGACCCCTAATGTTTTTGAGAATACTATGCTTTACAATTTGATAGCAATAGCTCACATGTACACACACACACACACACACACACACACACAAACAATCAAAATGAATTTTATTTTATTTTTTTTTGTAATTTTCAAGCTCTAGATTTTCTTCTTTATGTGTTTTGTATGTTTATGTAAAAACTAGAGAAAAAATGGCCATAATAATAATAGTCATAATTCTATTGTATTGTGTGTGTGTGTGTGTGTGTGTGTGTATATATGGTAGCCATAATTCCATTGTGTTTGTGTGTGTGTGTGTGTGTATTTCATTCCATTCCATTCCATTTCAATTCATATTTATAGTCGTCAATGTTTGGCATTTTTTCATTCTTTTTTTTTCTTCTTTTTCATTCATTTCTCGGGTCCTTTTGTATTCAAACCGTATGTTCGGTTCGTTTCATTTCATTTTATTCATCCATTCGTTTTGGTCTTGATTGGTGGTGGTGGTGGTGGTGGTTTGTGTTTCTTCATTGGATCTAGCTATTGTTCCGTTTTTTTTTATTTTTGCTTTCTTTCTATCTTAGTTTGATAGCTAATAGATTTGAATCTAGCTCAAACAACATTGTCCTTGTTGCTGTTGTTGTTGTTTGGTTGGTTGTTAGTTCACCTGGTCCCCTTTTTTTCTGGTTGACAGCACCGAAAGCAGCAAATCAATTTATCTTCTTCGTTCGTAGACACACACACACACATAGCTTAGGTTTTCCGATGAATGAAAAAAAAAATAGAAAAGAAGAAAAAAAAATTTACATTTTTCTATTCAACAAACGAACGAAAGAAAAAAAAATCGAAAATTGCGTCCTTGGCGTTTGTTGTCGTTGACATTTTTTTTCAAAATCTCACAAATCTATTGTTTACTGCTCTATGCTTATATAAATTGAGCTTAGATTTTTTTTCTGTTTTGGTTACCTACCTACAAAAAGAGAAGTAGTAGTAGAAGAAGAAGAAGAATACGAAGAAAAATAAATTGTTTCGGTCAATATTTTACTTTCATCGATTGATTTGCACACAAAAATCACTAATCAACTATTTCAATCTTTCGACATCTTTTAAAAAATATTGCCCCCTTTTTTTGGCAATAACAACAACAACAACAGCAGCAACAACAACAACATCCAATAAGAAAAAATAAAGTCCACATATTAGGTACATAGATCATCATCATCATCATCATTTTAACGGATGGAATATTTTTTACCCCACCCCCTCTCATTTTGAAAGCCAATCTAATCTGGCCATTCATTTTCTCACGTTATGTGTCTAACTTATTTGACAATTGAAAATTTTTTTTTTTTTTTTTTGTGCATTCAAAGCAAAGAAGGTCGTTTGATTGGATTAATATGAATAGAAAATAGGAGAAAATTTATTTTGTTTTTTTTTCCACTGTGATTTATCAATTTATCCGTCTCAATAACTTATAACCGTTGATTTTTTTTTCTCGTTTGTTTATTTATTTTATTTTACCTGAAAATAATGAAAATAATTAGACAAAACCTGGAGGCGTTTATCTTGGACCGGAACAATATCCGAATAATAATAATAATAATAATGGCAATCCATCTCAACCATATCCTGGTGGTCAATATGAAACAAATGGTTATGGCCATCCTCATCATCAACAATATCAACAACAACAACAGCAATTACAATCACCATTATCAAATGGTAATCAAACACCTCCACAATCATCAGTTTTGAATGGTTCAAATGATAATCCTCAACAACAACATCAAGCACCTGTTGGTGAAAATTCGAATCGTCATAAGATAATGAATAATCGCCTGAAAACATTGATACAGAATCGTCAGAATCAAAAAGATCAAAATATTGTATCACAACCACAGCCATCAACACCAACAATGGCTGGACAATATTCACAATTTTCAAGTAAGTTTTAATAATTTTTTAAACAAAATTAAAAAATTTTAAATTTTAATCAAAAAAAAAAAAAAAAATCACTTGTTTAAAATCAGGTCATCCTGGTTATCCACCACCACCACCACCACCAATGCCAAATACGGCAGCTACAATTGATTCTCATTGGATTTCTCAATCGAATAGTCAACAACAGCAACCACCGCAAACAACAAATCCACCGGATAAATCACCTAAACCACCTACTCCTGGACGAAAAACACCAGTATATTCGATGCCATCACCAGCAGCTGCAACAGCATCTCCAATTGATTCAAATGCCACTCATTCCGTTGACAATTCTAATAATGCATATAGTTCATATTATGGATCTGGTAATGCTGCTTCTGCTACAATTACTGCTCCGATTACTTTACAATCTACCGATAAATCTTTACCGGCAAATACCTCAATGCCTTATAATACTAATGTAAATAATCAAGGCAATTATCCACCAATATCAAATCACCAACAACAGCCGAATGCTCTTCCACCCGGATCAAACATTATAGAATATCCACCACCACCATCAACCACTCAATCGATGATGAATGGAATGGTTGGAAGCCCATATGGAAAAACAAATCCACCGGTCCAATCCGATTTGGCTACATTGCTCAAATCAAATACAACAACAGCAACTACTGTACCATCATATCCTTCTACATCTTTATCATCGAATGAAACGACCACATCTGCGGATTCATCATCCACAATACCATCAACAACAACATCAACGAATAATGTTGGTGATCCTTTTTTAGTGAATACGACCACAACTATGAACCATCACCTATCAAATTCGACAACATCTATGAATACATCTACAGGTATGTCCATTGTTATTTATTCTTTATTATTAGAATTCGTGAAAACAATTTTTTTTAAATTTATTTACAATCTGACACACTAGATATTACCAATTCATATAATAATAATAATAATAATCAATATGCAATGCAAATGAATTCTCGACAACCACAAACACCAACATCCACCAATAATTATTCGACAACAACAACAAATCAATCGAATTCACCATTTTTTGTCAATTCGAATCTATCTGTGATGAGCAACAACAACAATAATAATAAAAATGAAACTTCAATAACATCAACAGGTGTGGAACAAGTGGTGATAGCTTCATCAACCAATATGGATGTTGATTATCAACATCATCATCAGCATCATTCTCATCAACATTCAAACGCTGGCATAGCTTGTGGTCGTACAAATAATAATCTAATCGATTCTACAATGGATCCTACATCGTCAACACAATCATCGATATCACAACATACATCACCATATTATTCATCATTAGATTCACCTTATCAAGATTCATTATCCTATGGTTCGGTTTCATCGAATGAAACAACAAGTTTATCAACGACCGGTAAATTATTTGTTACATCAACGGCGGCATTACGATCACCAGTATCGGCTCATTCACCTCATCGTTTGACACCGGTTGGTGGTGGATCACAATCATACGGTGGTTCACCATCACCAAATTCATCATCAACATCGGGTAGTAATCTATTACCACCAGTATCGACATTTATGTTTCCCAATAATAATAATCGCAATGAATTCGATTGGTGGAATCAAACGAACGGAATGAATCACCATATATCATCATCATCATCACCAACGGGCATGATTCGTAATGGTATGATTGGTGGTGGTCATGGTGGTAATGTTAATTTCAATAATATGACCACAACAAGTCCATTAATGACAGCTAAATTGGTTACATCAACAACGGCCTTATGTGATCCTGATATGGATTTCTATGGATTATTACCAATTCCAAATAGCAATAATAATCCCAATAATAATGATTACATAATAACAACAACAACATCATCATCATCAACAACAACAGCAGCTTTGTAACATTTAAAACATTTTATCTTCATTTTATTTTATTTTGATTTTGATTGAAGTTTAATTAGAATTAATTAATTCATCAACATTTGTAACTGAAATTAACACATCTCTATACAATGGACGAATGGATGGGCCTTTATCTTTTTTTTTTCTAGGAAATTTTTATCATCATTTTAATATGAAAAAAAAATTGTGCCAAAAAAAAAAAAAACGCCGAATCATCAATAGAATTTGTTGCTCAATTCTTTTTTTTTTTTTTTCATTTCTCTCTCTTTTTCTCTCTCAATTTTAATTTCAAGATCATCATTAATTATTATTATTATCGACTGAATCGTTTTTAGTTTTTATAATTTGTAAATTAATTTATTTTATTAATTTCCATTATTGATATGTTTATTTTTTCTATCTTTAACCAAAAAAAAAAAAAACAAAAAAACAACAACAAAAACAACAGCAACAACAAAGAATCATATATACTCAAACAGACGACGGCCCTTTTAAAAAAACCACCGATGAAAAAAAAAATCCATACATTCAATTTGCCACACATTCGTATCATTTTATTCATTCGATGATGATGAGTGAATATCATCATCATCATCATCAACAGCATGAATCATCATGGAATAAACATTGATTGATCAAATGTAATTTTTTTCCCTTTTTATTTTTTCTTCCTTTTCACCTTTCTGTAATTGTGAATTATTATTTCATTTGTCAACATCGATGCATAAAATATTTCAAATCCTCATTATCAATTATTGATTTGAATTGAATTGATCTTTTTGACGAAAAATATAAATATAAATATATCATTATTATTCAAATTTTAAAACTTGATTCCATTCACTCATTTGATGATCATTTTGTCATTGTCATAATGACATAATTGCTGTTGTTCTGGTGATAATAATAACAATAAATTTTAAGGCCAGGAAAAAAAAAGATTTACTTGAATGAAATAAAATGACAGCAAAAATTGTCATATATTTACGACATTTGGTTATCTTATCTATAATCTCACTAACTATGATGTACAACAAACAATTCAGCTATATCGATTGCTACTATTCGAAATTTTTTTTCCAAACACTGTAATGCACGAGTGGAAGAAGAACTCTTTATGTTTTATCGTATGTAATAATCATTTTGTTTATCGGTACCAGAAAAAAAAATTTCCAAAAATTTATTGAAATGAAAAAAAAATGTGAAACAAAACAGTGGAAAAAAACCAAGAAAACCGGATCGTCGACCGAAAAAAAAGATTGATGGATGATTGAAAAAAAAATAACAAAGTGATTTATTTGTAATTATCTCATCCATCCATTCATTTATTATTACAATCTTGGTATTTTTTTTTTTTGTTACAAACAATTTCTTTTTCTGGATCATCATCCACACACTGGATGTTGTTGATCAATTGATGATTCGATTTTCACGTTTTTTTTCTGTAGTTTTATCTTTTTTGTTTCATTTTTATTATTATTATCATCATCATCATCATCATCATTATAATCGTGTTTTTTTTGCAGAAAATGTTGGCTTATTATGTTTTTTTTTATCAATAATAGTGGAAATGTGTGTATGTGCATTGAATAATGATATCATTTAGAGTTTGTATCAAATACAAGTAATATGTACCACTGAAAAAGAATCCAAGTTGGCCAAATTGCGATCGATTGAGATTGACTAACAACAACAAAATAAAAAACATTTTATTGTTACAACAACAACAACAACAATGAATGTATCAATAACAACAACAACAACAACAACAAAATGATGACCAAAAAAATTGAGAATATTGTTTATACAGGAAATTGAATTGAATCAACCAACAAATAAAATAAAATACCATCATGACCATAGGATGATGATAGTGATAGATGAGACTCACGAATTGATTGATGAAAATATAATAATCATCATCATCATCATCATCATTATAATGTCAAGAAAAAGTAGAGAAAAAAAATCGAGGACGAAATCGAAAACAAAAAAAAACCAAATGAGATTATTGTTAAAATCAAAACATTGTTTACCAATACAACAATAGTTGATAATGGTAAGAATGGTCGATGATGATCGTTCAATCATTATCGATTGTTGTTTTTTTTTTTTTTTGGTTTTGTTTTTATGAGATTGGATTTTTTTTCTAATTTTTTTCAACACTGAAATTATTACAATCGATCAATACATGATGATGATGATGATGATGAGTAAAAAAGGTGAAAAATAACAAGTTTCAAGAGAAAAAAAAACTAATCCAACACAATGAATGAACAAGCTTGCAGAATAGAATGGGAAAAAAAGTTTCATCCAATTGATTTATGCTCAAATTTTTTTTCTTTCTTTTTGAAATGTACATCTACACATTTTAGTTGGTTGATTCCAAATTTGAATCCATGTTTGGAATCGAAAATCAAATTCATGTTTTTCTCTCTCTCATGTATGCGTGTGTGTGTGTTATGCATCAGGTCGAAGCTGTGTGTTGTTGTTATTTTTATCATCAAACTTTTGTTTGCTTTTTGATTCTATTGATTCTTGTTTCATTTTTTTTCATATATTCATGTATTCGGTTTGTGTGTGTGTGTTTGTATGTGTGTGTGTGATTATTGAATTTTTAATTTTGTTTGACTTTCATGTAGTTTTTTGATTTTTTTTCAATAGTTCCAGTGTTCTAGCATTGTGATTTTGTTGAAAGTTTCAAGTAAAGTTTATATGGATTTATAAAGTTTGATTTTAGATTTTTTTTTGGGGGGAGGGATCATTCAAGCGATAAACAATGGAATTGTCTTTTTCTGGTCAATGTTTCAAAATGTTGTCCCAAAAAAGGACAGTAAAGATTATGGCAATGAAAACAAGCTACTAAATAACACTAGATAAGATCGCAAACACACATACACACACACACAGACTTTGATTTTCATTTTAAAATGATGATGATCATATGATAATGAAGATTTCATCAGCTATTGAAAATAAAAAAATTTGTAATTCAAAATTTTTTTAAAACAAACAAACAGAAAAAAAATCTAATGCAATTCTTGTTGTTCTTTGACTACATTACAATATTAATTATTTACATTCATTCGTTTTTTATCTCTCTGTTTCTGTATATTCTAATTGCAACAATGTTGCAATTCATTGTGTGTGTGTATGTGTGTTTGATTGACAACGAAAGTAAATTCGATTCTACCATATTTGAAAAATTCATATGCAATTTCTACACACTGTATATAAAATGGATGGGCAAAATAAATTTCATTTCATTTTCATTGAAATAAACCATAGATTAATGTCGATTGCTGCATTGCATCGTGTTCTTGTTCACATGACAAACCGTTCGCAATAATGCGCTAGACTAGCTGTCAAAATGTTGTCCCAAAAAAGGACAGTAAAGATTATGGCAATGAAAACAAGCTACTAAATAACACTAGATAAGATCGCAAACACACATACACACACACACAGACTTTGATTTTCATTTTAAAATGATGATGATCATATGATAATGAAGATTTCATCAGCTATTGAAAATAAAAAAATTTGTAATTCAAAATTTTTTTAAAACAAACAAACAGAAAAAAAATCTAATGCAATTCTTGTTGTTCTTTGACTACATTACAATATTAATTATTTACATTCATTCGTTTTTTATCTCTCTGTTTCTGTATATTCTAATTGCAACAATGTTGCAATTCATTGTGTGTGTGTATGTGTGTTTGATTGACAACGAAAGTAAATTCGATTCTACCATATTTGAAAAATTCATATGCAATTTCTACACACTGTATATAAAATGGATGGGCAAAATAAATTTCATTTCATTTTCATTGAAATAAACCATAGATTAATGTCGATTGCTGCATCAATTTGATCCACCATTATCATTATATTGAATTGAATTGATAAAAAAAATTCATTCAGTTAAAATAATAGAAAGAATAAATTGAATTCCAAATTATTGAAAAAGTTTCAACAATAATTAAAAACTTGATTGGCTGAGAAAATTGAACATTGAATTTGCAAACATTTTCGATTCGTTTTAAACGAAAAACAAAACAAAAAAAAATTATACGAACGGAACTGTTTTCAGCCTCTCATGGATTTTTTTTTCGTTTTTTTTCTTTTCTTTTTTTTGTTGATTAATTTTAATTTTTTGGATTTTGGAAATTTTCTCCGAAAGGTACATGATACACGACACACACACACAGAGTTTACCATAATCTTTTTTTTCTCTCTTTCTTTGGTTATTATTATTAGGCAAGCAAAGATGTTTTGCAAAAAAAAAAATCGAATGGAAAAATTTCATATGATGATCAGGCTACTACTATCCGAAAGAAAAAAAAGACGATGACCTTTGTGTGGACTTTTTTTTGATGAATCAAGAACCAGTGCCAGTATCCAGAGAACTAGCCGAACATGTTTTTTTTTGTTTTCGAATCGAGATTTCATCCCATATAACCTCGAGGGCATTGAGACAACCAAAATGTAAAAAAAACTGGATTCTCCAACGCTTCATTGAATCGATATGTTTTTTTTCTTTCTCTCTCTCTCTCTCTCATTCAACCTGTGTTGGTGTATAATATGTGAATAAATAAATAAAAAAAAAGAAACAGAGAAAAAAAATCTGAATGAATTGGCCAGAAATTAACTAATTTGCCAATAATTGCCGTATATATATTTTGAAGTTTGAATTTGTTGTTGTTGTTGTCCGATTTTTTTTCATATCAATAAAAATAAAATTATCGATAAACTAATTTTATCTGAATGAATTACAAGTGTGTGATATTAATTCTTGGAAAGAAACAAAAAAAAAATCTTGAACTGAATTTCAAACATATGAATCAATTTTCAATTGAATCGATTAATATTTTACCTTTACATTGCATACATTGATGATGCATATTAGCCATTAGTAGTTTAGATTGTCCAGATATTGCTGAGATATTCAATGTACGAATGTCTTTTTTATTTATTTATTTTTGTCTACCTTGTCATATAATTTATCAAATATTTTGAAGTTTTTTTCTTCTTCTTTTTTTTTTTCTGCCAATAAATTCACCAGAAGTGGCAGATACACACACACAGTACACAGTGATAGAGTTGATAAATATATATTCAAACTTTATACGAGCAAACAAAATTTTTTTTTTAGCTTTATTTATTTTTGGCGATTTTTTGTTGAATTTTTTTTTTCGTTAGTTTGTTATAACAAAAAAAACCAAAAGAATGGATGAAATGATTTTTTGTTTTCTTCATCCAAATAAACGTAGCTATATAGTGATATTTGTGTTGACCAGATTCA